ATGTTTTTTATATTACACTCAATATTTTCAAAAGATAATCTGACTTAACAGGATTTTTAACATTTCTTGCTTCAGCTGGGTATTTTCACTCGAAGAGTAATGGTGAAATGTTTGATGTCAGTAAGAAAGTAACAACGTTTGCTAACCTCCTTCTCATTAATAAACAGCTTTATAGTTGATATTGTGATACTGAATTTCTTGTAATATTTAATTTCAAATATATCTACATATACACATACTACATTTATATGTCTCTATGTGTGTGTGATGGAAGGATAAAACTCAAAATTAATGGATTTATGTTTATAATATTTTAGCTATTTTGTCTCAAAAACGAGGTATCACAATTAGTTTCAAAGACTCTTTTGAAATGAACAAAAACTATGTACAAAATGTGAAAACAACTATAATCTTAAATGCACTTTTTGACATTGAATGATAATTTTCCTTGAATCAAAAAGAAACTCATGACACAGGGTCAGATAATTTTCCTAAACTTACATTTTTTCCTATGGGTTTATATCAATACATTACAAAAATAACTCTCTTCAACATTGTTATAAGCTGCTGAAATCAGCTTCCTGTGGGCAAGTATTTTCGACCAAAGTAAAGATACTTTTCAAAAGTACTCTTGTAGCTCTCATACTAAAATGTGTGAGAACCAGGGGTAAGTTCTTCTGATGTTTCTTGGAGTTTTTGGTAAATGTTAATTCATGCAGGGACCTATTATATACCACTCAGAAAGATGTGATGGGCCAAACACAATATAAGAAAGGTAATATTCATTGTTCATCAAGCTGGGATAGATTCTATTACAATGGACCTTTTAATTTTCACTTTACAAATGGTTGGAACCTAAGCGATATAGTTTAAGGAAAGCGCATTTATGGAAAGAATTTGAAGTGTAATCTTAAGAAAGTCAAAGGCTGAAGAACAATTTCTTCATGAGAATTTGGAAATCAGGTCATTTCGTCCATCTCAGGGTCCATGTGGCCTCTTGGGCAACTGTTCTCTGCACCGGCAATGGTGATTCCTAAAAACGTAAGTCTGCTACAATCTTCTACTAACTATCTAGTGGCTTCTTGTTTCTGGAAGTAAAGGTCAGTGCGCTTGCTCAGGTCCACACGGCCTTTGTGATCTTGCAGGTTGCTGCATAGCTCACTGCCTATCCTACCACTTGCTCTCTTATTGTTGTTATGCCAGTCGCATTTCTCTACTTACTTATCCTGATTCTCACAGAACACGCTTCTCTGAGGCCCTTTGCTGCCCAAGATATCACGGTGGCTGGCCCCTCTACTGTGCTCACGTTCCTGTTCCAAACTCATGTGACAAACTATGTGTCCTAAGTCATGGTAGTTTAAGTAGCAGTTCTACCATTAATCTTGAACTTTATTACTTTAATTTTTCCTACAGCTTTTTACACTTAGTGAAATAAAATGTATTTACCTGTTTCTGTGTACAGCCTATCTCTGACTACGAGAATAAATTTCAGAAGATCAGGGACTTTGTTTCGTGGTGGTGTTCCCGGCTCTTTCATGAGTGGCTAGTAATTAATAGGAAATCCACATGAACAGAAGAATTGAATGAATGAACATTATCTGTAATCTCTATATCCTTTCACATCTGACCATTTTCCCTCTGCTAACCAGCTTTCTTTGCATCAGCCAGCACACAGCTGACAATTGCTAACAATTGCTACACGGCCTTTCAGCTGCAAATTCTCCACCAACTGGCAGCTTCTCTTTTGTAAGTTAGTTCAAATTCCTAAAAACTTTAATTGCACAAATTTATTTTTCTTCTCCAGTAAGGCCACACAAATCATAGATTGCTGGATAACCTCTGGGTGTACTCCTTTGTGGTCTTAGTCCAATTATGTTGAGCCACCTGAGAACATGTCTGAGTAAGTTTGAAGAATCTGTAGCCAGACAACACAAATGCGTCTTCTTGTATATAAAATCATTGCTGCTAATATCTGCACCAGTGTTCATTATCATCACCACTGGTGGTCATTAGCCTGGCATTGTCCGTCAAAGCAGTGTGTTTACCTACCACACGCTTGCCCCTTCCTGACTAAATCACTTCTTTAATTTCTTTTATATATCCATGCATTAAGAATGCTTTTTTTAAACGAATAGAACCATGTCTATGCCTTAACCTGATGGCAGTTGCAGGCCCTGGTACTCCTACCTCTCCCAGATAGCTTTTGAATGGTATAAAGTGTCGTTGTCTCTTTGCATATGTCCTGTTTACACACCAAAGCTGACTGACAATGAATCATACAATTTAATAAACACTTTTTCTTTTGTGCTTGCAAAACTATTATTTGTTTATAACCAAGCGTATAATGCAAAGGTGCAGAGATTTTGCAGATTTAATTAAAAGTCCAAGTCTTGTGATTTTTAATTTATATGAAAGGGAGATTGTTTTGTATGGGCCTGACTTAATCAGATCAATGTCTTTAAAAGAAAGACTACAGTATTCCCCTTCCTGAAATGAAAGCATGTTTTCCTGTGGCCTTTAAGAAGTAAAACTTCATGAGTTTTACAGCCTCAAGGAAATGAATTTGCAACATCTTGGTTGAAGTTAGAAATAGATTCTTCCTCCATCAAGCCTCTAGATAAGAGAATGGCCCAACTGATACCTTGATTGTGGCCTTGAGAGATCCTGTGCAGAGGGTTCATCTGAGTTCTGCCTGGCTGGCTGGCTTATAGAACTGAGAGGTAATAGATGTCCTTCATTTTAACTCATTAGGTTCTTGGTTATTTGTTATGTAGTGGTAGAAATCTAATGCAGACCTTTATCAGAGTTAATTCCGCAGCTGACCTTTGAGTCCCCATATTAGTGCAGTTCTTTTAGTCGCACATTTTTCTTTCACTTGTTCCTTTACCCTTGCTTTGAGTTTCGCATGCCAATTATTGGAAGTGGAAATAATTCTCTCTGCTTCCTAAATACCTTGTTATTTGAGTTACTCTTTCACTGTATTTTCTCTGTTCTCAGTGTGTTAAGAATAAATATAGGCCTCTTTCAGGAAACAGTACCAGATCCTAATACTTTTCTTTCTCCCTTAGCCACACACTTCTCTCTTTTGTCTAACAATTCCCTTGTTTGCAGTTGTCGGTTTTGATGAACATAGGCACATTTCTGCAGCTGTGAGTTGTATACTTAACTCCTCTCGTTAGAATGCTTTTTTCCCTCTTTATTAATGTAAATACCTATTCTACTTTATGTTTTTGATAATTTCTTTTAAATTTGGAGAAGCATTTATTTAATCAATAACTAAGGGCTGTTATGGGACGTGTCGTGATGTCCTCCCAGAGTCTCATGCAGCTGATCATGGGCAGGGCTTTTTCAGAGATGAATCTAGATGTGCAGTGCTAGGATTAATGTGCTATGGTTAAGGATGTGAGCGCTACCCACCCTAAGAGCAGGCACCCTGGGTACTATAGAAGAGGCAGAAACAATTTTGCTACTCGTGTGTTTGGCTGTTCGGAGCTTGGTGCTATCTTCTGACCTCCATAGACAGTTTAACGTCTGTAATGTCTATCTGTCATGCCGTCCTGCCTTGAGAGTCTGCCAGCTAAGCACTGAAACTGTGAACTAAATAAACCTTTTCTTCTTTGGTTGGAATGTCAAGTGTTTTGTCTCAGCAAGGAGAAAAATTAACTAGGGCAAGACTGAAACAATTATGTGTGAAGGTCTATTCCTTAATATACTTACAGTTTAAATCTTAATGGTCATGTAAATATTTTTGTAAATGTTGGACTGTTCTGTGTTTGGTTATTACTTATTTCTTTATTACATGTTCAAGTGCTATTTATTCTGCTTGATATACTAAACTACATATTTGAGTGTCTTGACTTCTAAATTCAGTGTAGCAGTACCAGTTCTGCAACAGATACGCCATGCAATTTAGGAGTCAGATAATTAATAAATATGTCTCCACTTTCCATAGTGCTGGAACTTAAATAGAGATATGAAAAGTCAGTCTTCTTTTTAAGGCCATCAGAACATATATTTTTCAGAAACTTTAAAACTCACAAAAATTGTGATTTAAATATTTGACATGCATTTTCTGCACCTAAAAGAGAAAATACTAGGTTTCTTTAGAACACGTTTAATAGCATGTGTTTGAAAAACAGTATGTTCATTTATCACACACATGAAAATAAGCAATTCAGATAAAATATTGATAATGCAAATTTCTTATGCATTTATTCAACTCTAAATTCTCAACATGATGATTTGAAATTGACATGATTAAGAATGTCTATTTTCCAAAGAAGCAGCACAGGGTATCAAACTCTGATCTACAATTTCCTTGAAAAATATACAAACATTTTAACTTAAGCTTCGATTAAATAGCTTCAACATGAAATAGTAATTTTAATGAAAAGCAAACAAAACTTGATATTTTGATACACAATGAAATGGGATGTATTGGGGGAGGTGATTAAAAGGCACATTCAGTCTGTTTTGTAGTATAACAATCCCCTAATCATATTTCTAAATGCATTGTCACATTGATAAACTTTTGAATGTACTATTCACTCAACTAAGCTTATCCTCCATCCATATATACAAGCCAGCTTCTTTAACAGAAAGTGTAGCTATTTGGGAAATTCAAGGGGCTTTTGTTGCGATAGTAAACTCATATGAACACCTACTGGCATGAACTGCAACTGCAACTGCTTTTCCTTGTTATCACACCCAAGTCAATGTAACACACTGGTAAGGAGCACACTAAGCGTGTCCGTGAGTAAAGCTTGTAAGTTCTTAAGCTAGCAGAGCAGTTTAGCATGTTTGCCTGTGTCAGTTTAATGCCATAGATTTCTCTTTTGGAAAGCTGCCTTTCGGGTAAATACCAAAATCCTGGAGAGTTCTGATAGCAGTTGTTATTAATTATTTTCCTTTGAGATGAATTTCTAAGAAATAAAAAATTAATCTGCAGTCTTGTTTTGCTAAAACACAAATGAGACTACACTTTTTACCGTATTGTTATGAAACACGAAAGGAACAGAAAATTCATAGGCAACGTCAGGAAGCTTTCTTACGTGAACTTTCTTCTTTTTTAATTTCACACGCGCAGGAATGTGTAAGTAAAACCGATATGCTTATTTAACAAAGAATCTGCTGACATTTTTGTTCCACCCACAGTTGCTCTCAAATCCCTGCACTTCCCATAGTCGCCTCCAGATGGCGAATTCGTGCCCGTCCTCTGCTCCGGGACCCGCCGGTACCGCTGCCGGGCTGAGCCAGCAGCGAACCTGGCCCGGTTCTTAGGTGGGGTTCTGGAGGGCTGCGGACGGCCCTGACAAGGCGCCCCTCACTGCACGGAACAAGCGTTTTCCTTTCTAAGGGCAAACCGAAGAACTTCAGCGGGCGGCGCTGGGAGTGCAGATGGCTCCGTAGTGTTCACAGAAGCGTGGATCGCGGGCAGCGGAGCGAACCGGTACGTGCACAGAAACCGCTCAGCGGGAACGTGCGGGAGGAACCGCGGGTCGCCCTTTGTGCGCCCAGTGTGCTGGGTCCTGGACCGTGCCTCTGGGCGCGCGCTCGTTCCATTTCCACCAAGCTCATGGGGTCTTGGGGGGTCACGGTCTTTCATTTTTCCCACCGTGATATAATGAAAGCTTTATTGCAACAAATGTGACCCAAGTTTTGTTCTAACAAACCCAGGATGATGATACCAACATACTTTCTTAAATGTGTCTTTGTTAGACAAAAAGAAAGAAGAAATATAAATATTATTGCTATGTAATTTTACCAGATCTTTTCCAAGACAATTAAAAACACTTTCACCTGTGGTTGCAGACTTACACCCACCTGTAAAACGGTATTTTTCACGTTTTGTTTCGAATAACATTGTGTAGCTATGGAAACACTCATTATGAAAAATGCATAACCTGTGTGTGTAAAATTCGTATTGTCTAATATATCATGTGAATATGGTTATGTGTTTACACAGTAACAGATATATGTGACCTAGATTCAGAATTAATATTGCATCGTTGCAAATACGTACGTGCTGCATATGGATAAATTTTTGCAGCAGTTCCATCTACATAACTTAGTTCATCTATTCAAAGTTAAATATGAATTTAATGGATGTGTTTGTTTCATTGTTATATCTTAAATGTAACGAGTTTCATTCAGTTCTTCCCTTAGTTTCCTATGCTTTTTAATTTTAAGGAATTTTAATTTTTTAATTTTAAGGAAAGGTTTGCTTTTATGTTGACCATAAAACTTTGACTGAGGTATTTATATGGGACTAAGATACATGGAAAAATTGTTTCTTTGCATTGAAGGTTAATGTAGAGTCTTTGGTGGTTCCAAAAACTTGACAGTTCTGACTGGGAGTTTATTTTAGAAAGGAGCCAGAAAGTGGTAAGATTCTGGGGTTCAGAAATAAATGGGAAGTGGTAACCGAGCATGAAGTTTATGATGATTGGTGTTGCTCCCACACTTCTGGTAGTCACTTCTGGAAATACACCTTTTCCTTTGTAACATGTTGCACAAGAAATAACATGCATTTTATGTTGTGATGTGAATTTTATACTGTGTCACTTCAGCCAAAGATCACACATCTCAACCTAAGAAATGTGAATGGAGAGCTATGTAAGTCAGTATGCTAAATAATCATGAAATGTTAGAAACTTCTGTCTCTATACTCAAGGAATTACCAATCAATTGATTAAGTTGAGTGAGTTCACGAATATAAGTGCCCAGTAAAATACAAACCAAAAGCCAGCAGAGAGAGCCATCATGTGGTGGATAACATGTAAATGGAGGAAGATACCTGACTGAGTAGGGCTTTGCATTGGAAAATGCTTTTTCAAGGGGTCAATTGAAAGGATTACTTTGGTAGGAGTAGTGAGGTCTGAAAGACATACCCCAGTCACCTTTTAAATTGTGCTGGATACCTTCATTGGTCTCAGGGGTGAGTAGTATGTGATAATATCCCACAAGTTCGTATATAATTACTGGAGGTTGATTTGTCAAAATTTGCATTTCATCATTAGTCCAATCTGAGTGTCTCTAGCAATGCGAGTATTTACTGCTCTTAGGAACACTAAACATGAAGAGTGACAGAACTAGCATGAAGTTTTAGGATAATTCTAGTGTTTATTATGTATTTCCTATCTGCCATATCAGAATACAAGTTCCAAGACACAGTTCTGTTTTGTAACATTATTTTCTAGAAATTGCTTGAAAATATTTATCTCAATCATAAATTGAATATAAGACCTGGATCATGTATCATTTAGTTTTAATTTTCTTAATACTCATGGATGACAAACAACCTCAGAATTTACCAAGTATTTACTGTTCTAAGTTTCCATTTATGGCTCAGGTAACACCAAGCAAGTTCCCAGGAATCACTGATACTGATGCGTAAGTCTTATATAAGTAGCCTAGCCTTCACATTTCAAAAAGGACTATTAAGGTAATTATAAACTGTGTGACTATTTGGAATTCTTCACTTCATTTCCACATCACTACAAAAGGGATAATGGGTACAAAACACACATTAAAGAAATAAATCGAGGGAAACAGTTTTAGACTTTGGGGAAGATTTGGCATTCCATAACACATGCTCACTTCTTTAAAATAACACTTCCAACATTTTGCTGTCTACAGCTTAGTTTAGATCAAACTCTTTAGAATATTTTTGCAACTCTGAAGCTGTAAAGTGATCATTTGAGATATTCTCATTGATTGGGGAGAATGGAATAACTGCCTGTGGTCACAGGCCCCACGCACATTATCATCCCTTCCCTGTCCTTATGTACTAACATCTATAACAGACATACGTGAAAAAACTAGTGAAAAAAAATATTTTTTGTCCTTTGAAGGAAAATCAAATGAGAAAAAGCAGACACCTAAGTAAAATTATAAACTTGGTTCACTCAAGTGAATTATAAATGAATACACAGAATCTTATAAATAGGAAAGCCAGTAAACAATGTCACTGAGCCACAATTTTAGAAAAGAAACAACTGAAGTTTCCTCTGTTGCGAAAGACTGACTTCTTTTCTATGAGGATGATTTATTCAGCTTGATTTGCTTTCATATGACTCATATAAATAAAAGTATATAAGGGGAGAATTTGTCAGTTGAAAACTAAGTGCCAATAAGGTTTACACGTGTTGTTGAAACTGCGGACCAGAGCCTCTGTTTCACTTGCAGGTGGTCTGCACAGAGTCAGGCCTTTTTTCCCCATCACTGTCAGTATGACAGATTTCCATGCCAGCCTGCCTCTCCATTCTGCTCGACCTGCTATGAAAGCTTTTATTTTTAGCCCTATAAGAGGAGGTGATAAGACACTGTCAGCCTAAGACATTCACCTTATTCAAGCCCCGGGGCATGGCTTGGCCCAGAGACTAATGGAGTAAGGAAGCATATGTTTTCAACCTAATGCTGGGTGTGGTATTTAGTTTTGGAAAAAATACACTGCAGTTTTTACTGCCGATTTTTCCCCTTACTGGTTGATTTAAAACTGTTATTTTTATGAAAACAATAGAAACTTTTCTTTATATAATGAAATTGGGTTGGTCAAGTTTCTCTTAGTTTTTAACATCTTATTTCCAAATTCTTTTGGAAATATGAGTGTCTTTAAATTATTATGTAAAAAATAAACATACCATACCCTGCAAAACTAAGAGTTTTCCTTTATTATCTGGAAGGCTGGACCCATTTAAAAAAAAAAAAACGTACGATATATACAGGAATAGCAAAGGTGTTTACATTAATAGGTCCCATACTGTACTCTTGTTTATGTAAAGACTTCCTTCTGCCTCTGTTTTTCAGGTCATTATTTTCTATTGTCAATGCCAATGAATAGTTTTACTTGGTTTTTCTATAATGTTTCTATCCACACTATAAACTCCTTGAAGTCAGGAAGCAAATTCCATAGTTCCTTTGAATTTCCTTGTTATATCCCTATTATACTAAACACTTGCTAGGCACAGCTGTTTGTTCGTTTGTTTTTGACAGTTAAATAAATATCGTATTCTTATATTTACACACAAAACAAAATAGATGCTATTATTAGCAGTAACTTCTGAGGGGAAAAATGCTTACATATCTAGAGTGCTGTGGCTAACCTATCACAGCACAATGATAAATTTTCTCCCTTAGAATTAACTGTTCAAAGTGAAGCATTTCTTCAAAATAACATTTGAAATACATATATGTAAATATATATGTATATATACATACATACATACATAGTGACGTAACACTTGCATTTGTATCTAGACTAAGTATCTTCTAGCATACCTGTACCTCTCTAGATTTTGGGCAAATGAGAAGATTTTCTAGCAGTAAGAATTAGCCTCAAAATAACGTTGAAGCATCTACATGCTCTAAAGTGTTTTCCAGGGGAAAAAATCATATTTTTTTAAATAATGAGTATATTAGGAGTATAGCACAAGATGTTTTAAAAAATGCATCATAGCAGCAAATAGCTGTGTGAGTAGAGCTAGAGGAAAATAGCAAAATCTCTGTGGCTGTATTGTTTGCAGGAGTTCAGATGCTTCTCTAACATCTCTGGACCAAAGGCTAACGGAAGAGCATTTGGTTGCTAAGATGTGTCTTCCCTGGTCTCGGGCTCATTAATGATGGAAGTAGGAGGGTGAGTGGATAAAGCGGCAGCTGCAGCTGTGGGCACTCAGATCATTTGTCACCTGGCATGAAGTTAGTGCTGGCAGCTCCTGAGTTCCTGCACAGAACACCAGGGAGCGAATGCCAACCGGTGGCTGCTCCTCATCAGCTTGCTGGCTGACTCCTACTCAGTCTTTAGATCTATGCTGAAGTGTTGCTTCCTCCAGGCAGCTTTGCCCAGCCTTTCTCAAATGCACTCGGCTTCTTCCTCGCCTCTCCTGTCATGTTCTCATCCTGGCTGTCACACTTGGCACTTGAAGCCCTGGGGGCGCTGCTCACTGGACTAAAGACAGGAGCTGAGTCCTGCCCTGCACAGCTCATGTTTGTGTCTTGCACAGTGAATTTGTAAATATTTATGAATATTTTCTGTTGTATGGTGGTTTTGTAACTTCTACAGCTTTTGGTTTCAATAGGGGAAAAGAAGAAAAAGAAAAAGAAAAAATTATAGGTATGTATACACAAGATAGTTAAAATAGCTGTATTGCTAGCTTCTCACTGTTCCTTGAAAAGAATGTTTTGTATTAATATTTTTAAACAAGATATTATACCAGCATCCTGTATGCTGAATAATTACTATGAACACAGCAGTCCACAATGTATCAACCATTACAGTTATTATGTACTGCTTTTATTATTTATTTTTTCCTTAAAATTAAAAAAAAAGTGGCATTTGATTTTCAATGCCATATATCTAAGTATTATTTTAATAATACTATGGGGATTTGCTCATGGGATTTCCATATATTACTAAGTTAATAAATCGTATCAAGTTGGTGGTATTATCATCCTGCTTCATATTATAAGCATGGAAAAATTATTTGTCCAAGGTCATAGACCGCAGAATAATGGAAGGAAAACCTAAAACAGTACCCAGGACAACGTGGACATATGCAAGATACAAGAATGGGTGTTAACATAGTTTTATTTGGGGAAGACAATTTGCCATATAAATTTGAAATTATCACCACATAGTTAAGAACAGTTTGTTCTCTGATTTCAGAGCCTTCTGTTGCAAATATTTGTAGAATTTTCAGGGGAGGCAAATATGGTCAGGGAATAACTTCTAAAGTGTGAAATCTGAGAGGATATTTGTACTTCACAGGACATTTTACAATACTGAGCATTTAGAAATTGAAAAAAAAAAAACTCTTGTAAGAAATCTGCTTTTGTTTTGGATCTCTGGTTAAAAAGAAGCAAATGATAGCATGGCCCATTTTAAGTTTGCAACATTCTTTTATTTCTGCATTTTATATATTTTATACAATATTCATTTTTTTCTTACTGTAAAGTGCTTTTTGTAGAAAACATGAAAAATGCAGATGAACTGTAAAACAGGAAGTTATCAATATTCAGTTAAGGTAGAACAAGCTAACTTGTGGCAGGTGTTTTTCTTTCCTGTTGACAGTATTACATGCACTTATATACATATATGCATTAATACACATACACATTATAATATGAAATCATACTAGAATATAATTTCATGCACTTACCACTTTATTACATTCTTTAAAGTTATATTTTTACAATTGAATAGTATTACAATATGTAGTGATGGCATAATTTTATCATTTCACTTCTGTTTAATATTCTAATTTTGGAAATTTCCCTATTATTTTTGGTTTTTAGGCTATTCAATCAGATTTAGTGTGGTGCTTTATATAACAGATTTACCTCCTAAATAAACACGTTAGTTGACTATAGTTAACTTTCAATAATGTCATGGATTATGTCTGTGGCCCCCAGACCTCATGCGTTTGCATTATGCATGTGTGATTGTTTCATTGTCTAGAGCTTGGATTGATGTTGTCAGTGTTATACCCACATAGGGGTGGATCCAGTATACAATGTAATGGCAGGAAGACAGTGTGTCTCTCTCTCATGCTGGTTTCTGCCTTGCTGTTTGCAGCCGCCACGAACTGCGGCCCTGCCATACCACCCTGCCTTGGATCCAACTGAGTATGGACTGAAACCTCCAAAAATTGTAAGAAATAAACCTTACCTTTTCCAACTTTGGTCATCAGGTGTTTTGTCTCAGAGACAAGTAAAAAGTAACTAAGACAAATAATAAGATTGTTAACTGTGGGCCTTCCTTCTTACTCAGAAATAAACAAATCATTTTTAAAGTAGGATCCATGCTTAAGGAAATATCAGTAAACATAGAATTGCAGATAAGAATGGACCAATATTTCAAGAGTGACCATGATATGCTGTAACCTTCAGAGATCAGCACTGTAATTACCATGTTGCTGTGATTAGCTGAGTCATAAAGGGATGAATGACAAAATCAGGTTGCTTTAATGACAATGCTAGAATTCAACTGTAAGTTCTACTGCAGAACATTTCATCTGTTTCCTCCCACAGTACAGAGGGCAGAGCATGCTGGGAGTGGCCATTGCTCCACCTGATATGGAATCTGAAATAGAAACAATAATGTTGACTGCACAGAAATTTGTGTAATGATAAATTTTAAAAATAAAAGGAGAAAAGAAGGAAGAGAAAAGATATACATATATAATAGCTAAGAAAATTATATTACTGATTTCTTTTGGTTCATTGAAAAGAAGTTTGTGCTTATATTGTCTGATCAGTTTTGCATGCCTATATCTTGTAATCTGAGTGACTACTTCAAAGATAACAATGTGCAATATATTAAACATTGTTAATTTCTTATCTTGTTATAAAGTTCTCTATTGCTGATTTTATTGGTTTTTTTTTTCCTAAAATAAAAAAATAAAAGATGAAGATTGAGATCCCAAGGTCACAAATTTACCTTAGCCTTACCTTGAATACTGTCTCATAAAGCACTTTCTCAAACTAAATTTGAGGGCCTCCTGGGATTTGAGGGGCTGGTAGAAGACTCCTTAACAGTTAAAATTCCTAGATGTGAATCTAGAAGATTTAGATTCAGAATTTAGGTAGATCTCTATCTTTGTTTTTAATAAGCTCCCTTGGTGATTTTGATGATACATTAAATGCCAACCACAAACATAGGCAACTATAAAAACGAGGCTGAAAGGAATCTGAAAAATTTAAGAAGAGATACAGAAACTTGGCAATCATTCAGATGTTGGTTGTAAGTAAACAGAGCTACCTGTGGGAGAGGGTGACTGGACATTTTCAAGTGACAGAAATTTCTTCAGATTTGAAGGTTTCATCCTACCAACTCATTTAAATTATGAAATATAGGAAAGGGTCTTGAAATCAGGAGTAATATGATACTAAAGTGACTGACCAAAAAAGGCAGATACTAAAGCTTTACCACAGTAGAATGTGTTTTAAAGGACATTGATTATGCACTGGATGTTTGACATTTGTTTTCATAATCACATAAAGGATTTGTTTTGTAAACTAAGAAATCTGACTTGAAATTTTAATTTGAAGTCTTCCCTAGGCCTAAAGATTCAACCCAGGATCTCACTAAAGGCAACACCTTTATCAGTGACCTGTACCGCAAGATCCCCTTGATTTTTTAAAGTCAGATATTTGAGCATTAGTTCTTCTCCTCTCAGTTTTTTAATATAAGAATCTTCCAGGCTTTCATATAGGATAGCAGTTTATGAAATTTATCTTACCTATTAGATGAGATGCTGCTTTGAACTTAAGAGTCATGCCTTTAAAAGGGATGCAAGGAACTGTTTTTAGTGAGTTACTTTTCAACCCATCATTTTATACTTTTTAATGTGCAGAAGAATCATTTTATAACTTTAAAAAATTTCTCTATAGAAACATTCTCTGCTACTGCGTGAAGGATGAGAAAGATTTAAGGATATTTATTTTCTTTTCCTGTATTGTGGATATTTGATGTGGCTTTCTATAGCATGCATTGATGAAAATATTTCTAATATGTAAGACCAGTGTTCTCTAAAAAGGTGATATTTGTTGGGAATTAGTATGATTCTTGATATGAATATCTTCAGAATTGTTATTGAAGGTATTAAATACCCTGGTGTACCTTCAGCTTAAAAAGCATTTTAAATTATGCAAAAACAATTTTGTGGATCTGTTACTGAGTAATGAAAGCAATGAATGCTAGACAGTTTGACTAAATGGAAATTGACATTCTTGGCTTATTAACAGAAGTATGTCCTAGTTAAATAAAACCTTTGCATTCTCTATAGTTATGTTTCTGAATTGGTCCTTGATATATAATCTTAAATCTTAAAGAGCTAAAATTAAAAAAAATACTTGAAAAATGATTTTCAGGGTGAATTGAGAATATCTGTAAATTCAAAGCCATTTTATTTATTTTTTTTTCAAAGCCATTTTAAAGAAGCTATGCCACAATGTCTCTTCCTAATCCATCCCCATGTGCAGTTACCTGCATTGTGAAACTTTCAAATCTTTTCATAAATCCTGTGTTCTTCTATATAAGCCTACATCTTTGTGCTTGATCTTGGTGGAGACTGAGAAAAACTGGTCATTGTGCTTTTTAATACATACCATTTATATTATGAGGTTGTTTTTGCAAACTTCCTCAATGAATATTGCAAACAAGTTATTCATGTCACTTACACGCTCTTTATTGTCTCCTGAGATGGGTCAGGGTGCTGTATACTTGTCATTCGTATAGCTACAATTCGTATAGCTACAAAGAGGGCCCTTTGAAGGTCTTGCCAACTTACTAGTAGCTTTTAAATCCATTTCCCATGGTTTTGCTGTTTATCTAAATGAGTAATTTTCAAACTGTCTTCTTAACTTTTGCCAACAACCATTTTACCTTGCACCTTGACCAACTTCATTCAGAAACAAAACCTATAAGAACATAATAGCAGTTGTAGCCAGAAAAGTGCTTTTACAGTAAGATTTTATATATGACTTCATATGTAATTTTTATTTTATTTTATTTTTTTTTGTTCTAGGCATTGAACTCTGCACCTTGTTTTTGCCTGGCAGGTGCTTACACCACTGAGCTGAATTCCTGGCTTCACATGTAAATTTTACAGGTACTTACCATTTTTTCAGTCATATATTTTTAAATGCAAATTTGTACCAAATTTTGAGTAGGTTTATAAACAATAGAAAAAGCAAACTTTGCCCTTAGTAGGGGATGCATTACAATATGTAACAATAACAAAAATTTACTTCTTATTGGCTGTGTATTGAATCTTGATACAATAGTGACATAGGTAACACATGTTATATATACACCGAAGTTTTAAAAACATGTTTGCTGATCATTTCATTTGATTTTTGAGTGACATTTTGTCAAAGTAGCTACTTCTTGTAGTTTAGAAATTTAACTTCATGTTTCTCCTCTTTTAATCTGTCACCTGCGGTGATTTCACCAGTTTTGCATTATTAATCTCCTGCTTGCCAAAATGTCTCTCTCTTTTCTCCTCTTTCCCATTTTTAAAATCATCTTCTATTGTATAATTTTTAGATTTTTCAAATGTTATGTTTTCTAGAGTTTCTTGAATTATCATTTCTTTTTCTCGTTCTTTTTTTTCCCTTCTCTTTTCTTCCTTTACTGGTTTATGAGGGATTGAACTCAGGACCTCCTCACCGAGCTACATTCCTTTGTTTTGAGGCAAGTTCTTGCTAAATATCTAAATTGAAGCCTGAATCTTCCTGGCTCAGCCTCTCATAGTTGTGGAATTACTAGTGTGTACCACTGTGCTTTGACATTTGATTGATTGATATTTTCTGTACAGAAGTTTCTAACCAGTATAAAAGAAATATTACTCTATCGATTTTACATGTAGGAAATCTGATTCATTATAAATTGGAAATAGTGAATTCACAACATTGTTAGATTCACTATACACTTTTATGACCTTTTATAATCTGCATCCATTCATTAAAATTGAGTATTATTTATTATAAATTATTTTAAAATATATTTATGATTTTACATATTAATTTCAGAGATACTTTTCATACTTGTCATTACATTTAAAGAGCACATCTTTTGCAGCTTTGTAGGTATACTGTCTAATAGTTTCATTGTTTTATGTCAAATATTTCTGAAAAATAACTGTAAGGACTGATTTTTTTGTGTGTTTGTCTACAATGTAAGGTCAGGGACCATCAATGTATATATTGAATTTGTAAGACACTAAAAACTTGATTCCCAAGACAAGGATACCACCTGTCTTAAAATCCTTATGCACTGAGAAGAAGAAAAATTAGATTTGTACAATAGTCTACAATCAGAATATGATGCTGTGCAAATTAGTCTGCTATACTTTTAAATTTCATTTCTTGTTGATAAGCACACCATGGAGCTTGATAAATTGCTCTCTTTAATTTTACCTAAAACACTATTTGAACAGATCAATTACTGATTTAGATTATATTACAAAAAGGTCCGCTGAAGGGGAAATGTTCTGTAAGCAGGGATGGAATGAAATGTTCCAAAATTGTTATAGTTCAGTCGTTTCTTAGTATCTGATAAGAAATTAAATTATATCAAATCCAATTCATTACAGATTTAAATGTGAATTCGGGAGATTGGTGGAAATAAAAAGAATTTTCACCAATGAAAGTTCAGAATATTTAAAATGTAATGTTGACACAGATTTTTTAAATGACATCTGAGGTTCATATGAAAGTTCTGGGTTTTGTTTTTACTTACTATCCAAAATGATAGCAGGATATACATGAAGGTTAGTTTTCCATGGTTAAATCTGGATTAAATGCATCAAATTGCTAATGGTAACACTAAACGGCTTTTTTTTAAAAATAGGAGAACATTTGTTCTTATCGTCCCTTGATTTCTACTTCGTTTTTTATTTTTATTTCCATCAGTGCCTTCCCCTGTTCCCTTTCTCCACCCCACATGCAGCAGCTTGGAGTAGCGATCTCTGAGTGAAGAACTCCGGTAGGATTAGAACACACTATGAGAATGAGGAGGTGAGGCTAGGATCAGAGAAGTGGCTGGAAGGTTTATTCGTGTTCCGAGTTACATGAGTCTGCACCTGCAAAAAGACTTTTGCCATCACAGTCAAATCTTTATTACTGAGGGAACTCTGAGTAAAGTGGAGATTTGGCTGTCACCCCAGACTTGCTTCCCTGGAACACCTAACTTTTTTCCTGGCTGCTGACAGCACAATATCCTTAGGAAAAATTCAGCTTAGGTACAGAGGAACAAACTGAGTGCTTGTGTACAACTGATGTAAATCAGTGCAGACTCAAAGGTACTATAAAGAATTGGGGGCGCTACCTTGCACATATACCTCTTTTCTGTGTTATTAAGAGCAGTGCAGTGATTTGTGTGCCTTTAATATATTTCAGCGCAGTACATGTTCAAATACATGTCATGAGGTCTTTAAATACATATTTACATTTAAACATTTTTCTGTGAAATTATTTTACCCAGAAACATGCATTAGATAGGCAAATATTTGGTTTCTTCTCAGTGCGAGCCTCAAATACCAGTTAAGTGTCTTAAAATTCATAAAAAGAAAATATTTCATATACAAAATGATCCTCCCACTCCTCCACTGGGAGAATATAACATGAACTGGCATTTGGATTCCTGATCTTTGGAGATGCTTATTTGTAAAATTAAGTATTTAAAAATATCACAAAGCAAACCACTAAACAGCTGCTAGTGTTTGTCTCTCAGTGAACAAGTATACTAAAGTGTTGAATTCAATATGATAAGAAAAAGACTTTTAAGTTTTTTATTCTTACATACTATCTCTAGGAATTCCTGTTTAAAATTAACACCAATAAAAAACAATAAAACACCAGAGAATACACCAGTAAAACACCAATAAAAACAAGAAACTATATATTAATATGCAGACAGTAATATAGTGGAATATATTTAATGTGTAAACAGCCACCTCTTTCGTCCAAAGTTAAACATCTTATAGCTATGAAAATTAAATATTTCAAAGACAATTAATATAATCTAGCACCAAGGAGAGGAGGTAGAGGTATAAAATGACTCTGTCGAGGGAACTTGGGCTCCAATTGTTTAGTACCTTTCAGGGTAAAGTTTGAACTTTTTTTTTTTTTAATTTTTTAACTCTTTTATCAGTACTGGGGATCAAACTCACGACCGCCTGTTGCAAGGCAGTTGCTTATGCCACTGAGCTAAATCCCCAGCTCCAAAGTTTGAACTTTTATTCATTGGACAGTGGAGGCTTTTCTGTGATTTCTGTATGGGACAATGGATGACTGCCTCTGTGTTTTAGAAAGATAATCTCTGCAACAGTGAGAAGGATGGATTAGAAAAAGTCTTGTCTGAAAATGTGGAACTGACCTGACTGTCAGTATTGGAAGCCAGGGTATTTGGAAAGGCATTTTAGAGGTCGATCCATAGAACTTTAAATTAAGGAATAAGGAAAAGTGAGGAGTTAAGGATAGCTCTGAGAATTCTAGCTCTTATAATAGGATAGCTAATGATGACATTAATCACAATAAAGTATAGCACCTAAAATTTGCCTAGAGGAAGTTTAGAAACTTAAGGCAGAACCACTGTATAGGAGTGGAGGTAATGACTGGAATGGGTCGTGCTGACTTGGTTGCCTGCTATTCATACAAGCAAAGCAGTGCTTCTTAGCCTTGGATTTTTGGTACTCACACTGGATAATCTTTATTGTAGCTGGCCACAAAGACCGTGGTACATCTTTGTGCAGTGTGCATAGTTGTATACCTTAAGGTGTTTAGCAATATCTGCTGGGCCTCTACCCACTAGATGTCAGTAGCATCCCTCCCGGATACACCAAGCAAAATGTCCCCAGAATTCCCCAGGAATACCCTGAGGCAGGGACAGAACTGTCCCCATCTCACCTCTATTAAGATAAGAGAAGGCGGTGTTATGATTGTGTGTTTATGGCTGAATTCAAGGTTTAATATCATAATTAGTAGATGTGACTATGAGATGGTGCAGAGAAGAATGTAGATGATTGTGTTATCTAATTTTTGCTTGAACAGCTCCAGAAAATGAAAATTCCTAAATATAGGATGCAGATTAAAGTAGCCCATTATATTTTTGGATAATTTCATATGTTGTATATATTTCTCATTGATATATATATTGTTGAACTGAGGCAATTTTTTTGTATTGATCTAAAATTAATCTTTCTATAACTATTGCTAATTAGTTAGAACTTTTCTTTCATAAGACACAAAACAAGTCTATTAAGACAAGTTTAATTCCATTTAAATTTCTCCAGCAGCTATTAAACTAATTTTTCTTGACTCTCGGCTAAAGGTTTTGAATATTTTCAGCTTTCCTTTGTATATTATATTTTGAGACTTCTTACATAATGAGTACTTTATATTGAATAACAACCATTTGAAATATCCTTCTTAAGTGATAAAGCAGAGAACCAAAAAACTCCATGATTGACCTGTCCAGTTTGGAGGAAGATGAGCATCGATTTTTTATACCTTATTTGTAGTGTTTTTATTGAAATATTTGAAAATTGCATTAGATTTTTTTTTGTTAGCCACATTTTCTCTGATGGTTCACTATTTTTATTTTATATGAACATTATTTTCAGTCATATTCTATATCAGATATCATGACTTTGTAACTCAAGTATGGAAAGTTATAGTTATTCATGTACTTCTGCTTAGTCCATAATTTCACCCTGATCTTTGGGATTATGACTTTATCATCTAGCATGTTTTTCATTTCTTGCTGTCTACACAGCAGATCAACGTGTACAATAGATATTTTCATCCAACTAATTAATAAAAATGTGAGAAGTTTAGGTCAAAGACAATGGAATTATATAAGTGCTATGAATTTTTGCTTTAATGTATCTCCAGCTATTCTTTTTTACTTTCATTCAGTGCTATGTAAAAGAGATTCATGTGGATAAACATTGTGTTTCACGTTTCCCAGACAAAATCTTTGAAACATCATCTTACTGTAGAATGTAGTAAACATGTTCCATTTATAGGATGGAATAATATCGAAGGGAAAAGAGCCGGGTGTGGTGGTTCACGCATATAATCCAAGCACTCGGGAGGCTGAGATGGG